GGTTAATGAGATAAGACGATAGAAATTTTATTGCAGAAACACTTAACCCTACAAAATGTAAAATTGCCAATAGAATCCGGTGATTTATAGTATCAAAGGATCAATTAAAATTAGGATAAATTAAAATTAGGATAACCAGCTCATTTTTATTGAGCTGTTGCACAACTATAACCAGCTCTTAATCCAGACTGATGAGAAGGCAAAATATTATTGGTATTTAAATGTATTCTTAATTTCTTTTCAATAACTTTCAAGAATCTTTGATAAAGTAGGCAGAATACTAATACCTCTTAGATGAGATAACTCTGACAGTTTGGTAATTTTAGGAAGTTGAGTTGCCATTGCATGTTTCCATGACTTTGAAAAATAAGAGTTTTATGTTTATAATATGAGTAATAAATTCAATGATAAACGGGCAACAGAGAACAATAATTTGACTATTTAAACCATCGTGACCATATGCCTTGGGCTTAATAAACATTAATAACAAATACAAACACCGTCACCCTGTTCGAATAAAATCAAATTTTCATCAATAATTTTTTTGTAAACCTTGTATATATCTTAATAATTAAGATATCACAGTAAATAAAGAAAGAAAATGTCCAGAAAAGATCAAGTTATTATTTAATATTTGTAAATTATTTTCGTTCTGTACAGGATATTTCAAAGATTACAAAAAAATCGATAATTTATGAACGCCCCTGTAAATGTCATAATAACAAATGTTTTAAAGTCGATATTAAGTTAACAGTATGCCTAGAAGAATCAACCAATAATTATAATATAAAATATAGGAATCGAGTCAATGTGTGTATTATACCCGGAAGGCGAGTATTTTCATTCTCTTCTCGTAAAGCGTAGATAGTTTCAGTGATTAGTTTTTGTATTTTTGCTTCAGATTAGATTAGATTGGACATTGTTTGTCTTTGTCCACCGCGACCTTTTCAGATTTATTGTGAGACTCCGTTTGTTTTGGAGTTTGTCGTCTAGCTTGGTCTTTTTTATTAGACTTACGGCCATATGCACCATTGTCCAGCTAAGTCCTCTGTTATCTAACAGTAGTATAAAAAATAACAGTGTGTTAACAGAATTTGCTATGCACCATCTATGTACCATCTATTTACCAGTTTCAGTAAGAAATCAGTCTGTTACATATATATTACTGTTCATATCCTATAAAACCTTATATGGCCCTTCAAAATAAACAAGTAAACTTAAAATAGTCTGATAAATAAAATTAACAGGCCAAATTTGGTTTGTTACATTAACAACGCCTTTAACAGATTGTTAGTCGTATTTTGTAATGGTGAATACAAAATTGTCAATTTAACAGTTAGTTATGTAGTTAACTCTCTGATAACTATTAACAGAAGAATGGTGCATATGGCCGTTAGTAGCTTTGACAGTGGCTCCCGCATGTAGTTGCATGCGTTTGGATTTTCTTCGCTCAATTAACAAACCTCATTCCAGCCAGGCCTTCACATTTGCACAGGACGTGGAATGATGTTTCTTTTTCTTCTTCACAGAACCTGCACAAAGTTGCTTCTTCTGCTGAATTGATGACACTCATGTGCCTTTTGAGGCGACAGTGTCCAGTAAGAAGGCCTATTGTTATCCTAACGATTTGACGCTTTTAATCCAGTAAGTCTTTCATGAACTTGGCCGATGGTTCCTTGATGAAGTATTTGGCCTGTCTCAGTCTTGGATAGTTGTTCCACCATTCCTGAGACTACTTAGCTCCGCCAGGTCTTCTAGACAGTCTTTCATCAGTTGTGATTTGATTACTGGTGAGAAAATTGCCTTTAGAGCTGCTTGGCTATCAGAATATATAGCAATAGTTTTGCCTGATACTTGCTGATTCAATATTTCTCTTGCACATTGTTTTATGGCTATTAGTTCAGCCTGAATCACTGTTGCATATTTTCCTAAACTCAGCGAAATCGTTATTTTCGACTTGGACCCATAGATTCCAGCACCGGCTCCTTCCTTGGTTTTTGAACCGTCTATGTAGCAGACGAGTTCAGCCTGTATGGGAGGTCCCTGTTTCCAGGATTCTCGGGCTGGTATTTGAATTTAAAAGTTTTTTCAAATTTGTATGTGGTTATGACTGTATCAGTAGGCGTAGCTAGAATATTATCCCTTTTTACTTGCTGATATAGTCGGCGCTATGTAGTTGGCTTATTGGGTTTTGTCCCTGCATTAGCCTGTGAATAGCTGACCTGGTTTCTCCTTGTATGTTGTTTAGTACTAGTGGTCTTACTCCTGTAAGTACCCGTTATTTTGTAAATGGTACAACTGTTGTTTTTTGTGTGTTAATGGGCAATTCCTTTTTGCACCAGTTGTTCACTATATTTAAAGCTGTTTGAGATTGCTCCAAGACTGTGCCTGCAAATCGCCCCCTGAAGATAATTTCTAGGTCGTCTGCGTATCCTAGGCACCGGTAGCCATCTTTGGACAATGTTTTGAGTAAGTCGTCCACAAGAATTGACTACAGCATTGGAGATAATATTCCTCTTTGTAGGCAGCCCCATGTAACTTTTTCCTGTATGGTTGCTCTAGTTCTCCTGTCTAAGAAAATTTGGACTCGTATAGCGCACTGTCATTATTTATTAAAAAATAATTAGTAGAATAAAAATTAGGGGTTTGAAAAGAAATGAGAATCTCCGTACATAACAGCTAATAAAAAAAATTTCTTTAACACGCCACTGCACCACTCCGTGTTGCGTCAGTTCTATCGAGGCGCCTCGTCGCTCTAGATCTAGATCAATGCGGTGGGTTTTCGCGACGCCTGAAAAGCGTCGGGATACCTCTCGACGATCATGGACGCCTGATGACGGGGGCGCCAGCCGCGTGAAAGCTGAAAGCTGCTGAAACGAACCGGTGAACGGGTAATTCAGACAGCGGATTGATTTATTTCACGTTTATTATTAGATTTATAAAATATTAAGTAGGTTTTTGAAACGAGAAATTATTTCGTTGGTATGGAACCATGGGGCAGTGACGTTGCATAATGGAATTTTTACTATGTTAATCTGTGTTAAAATATACAGATTTTACTAATAATATTTTAATGGTAGTCTTAACTTAAATTTTAAATAAGCCTTTTTTCTCTTTGTATTGCACTCTTAGTTTCATTTCCTAACTGTATGTAATACTCCCAATTACCCTGAACACCGGTTCTCTTAAACCTTACTAATGCTCTGTCTCTAAGGGACGTCATTTTCTTAATAGTGTATGTGATCCCAGGAGCAGAAGGACGTGTAATTCTTACAGTCTTTTGTGGTGCGGGGTGGTCAAAAAGGACGAGAAGGATATTATTAAAATAATCAATTTTATCATCAATATTACGTAAATGAAAAATTTTATCAAAATTAGCTGCTTCTAGTTCAGCAGTAAAATGGGTAATGTTAAAAGATTTGAAATTTCTAAACGTGATAAAGGAGGGATCTTTTTTTGGAACGTTATTGGAAAATGTTAGAGATGACATACAATGATCAGCTAAAATAGATGCATCAGTTACAGATACTTTACCCTTGATAGTTTCAGAGCATATTACCAAGTCCAAAGCAGTTTGTCGATATGTCAATCCATACCGTGTTAGTTCATGAATCAACTGAGATAAATCGTAGGACTGTAAGATAGTATCAAACGTCTTATAGGGCACCAGTGCATCGATATTAAAGTCTCCTTATAAGATTATTTGGTTAAATTTAGGTGCAACGATACTAAAAGACATTTTAAAGTTTTCCAGGAAGTTATAAACTGTGTGGGAATATGGTCTATAAAATTCCCCAAATACAAAGAAAACCCACAGTTCTTTAGTGTAAATTAAGTCCCTCAATAATGTTGGCTTTAATGTTATTTTTAATGTAGAAGATTAGGAAAATATCTAATTCAGTTTCAATTTTTTAAAGGTCTTGACAAGTAAAAGCTTTGCCTTCAATTATCAATTGACTACGTTTTAAGATAAATCTTTTATTCCTCAGACGAGTCTTCTCCGTGTAGTCTTCAGTAACAATTATGCCAGAACCTTTTAGTTTTTTCCATTATGTAAGATTTCCTGTTTTCTTAAAAATGAAGTCAAGGATACTAAAGTTGGTCTATTCCGATTTCCCTTTTTTCTCAATCTGTATAGATTATTTATTTCAACAATATTAATAGTAATGGAAAATTTATCATTTAAAAGTTTTCCTACCGTTCTAATCAAGTTTTCGTTTGCAGATTCTTCTTCAGGAATTCCATAAAATATTAAATTATTTAGTTTTAATTTTTTTTCAGGTCTCTCTGCTTTTTCCACAAGTTTTTTATTTTTTTCTTCGAGTGTTGACACTCTTAATTTGAAATCAATTATTTCGTTCTCATAATGACTGCAAACATTTGACATATTAGGTATGGAATTATGCAGAATCACTTACTAAATACAAGATCATTTTAAGAAGAAGAACAGTTTTGATTATTGAACAAGATAAATCTTTCAACTGCATTCTCTTAACATAATAAGTTTGATGTATTCGTAAATCAAACGTCATACTTTTAAATATTGTGAAATAAAATTTTGTGCACAGTAATGTATATATGTTTTTTGAATTAAAATCAACTTAAGATCATCTTCAATCTTTTTTTACTTCTACACTGAAAAAATGTCCAAAGAATTTTCCAATTGCCAATTATTTTACAATCCATAGATCAGCTGATCACGGCAAAAAGAAAAATCAAGAGAATTAGAGCGAACGATAAATCTCTACAAAGACGATAAAAAATAAAAAAAATTGACAGTTATTAGAGGACGACATTATAAAACTTTTCAGCTCTTCCTCGTAATAGTATAAAATTTGGTAATTTGGTTCCTTGTTTTCAATAATTTTACCACACGGGTCAATCACACCAAATTTTATTCTATTTTGTTGATAATATTATATTATATAAAAGCCAATGTATTGATAAGTTCAAGGTAGTTTTTTTGTAAAGGTAGAAGTAAGTAAATCATTGTTGAAGTCGAAAATTTTTAGAAAGAAATGTCTATACCTAAAAGAGATACTGCTGCCGAGCAACTTAGCGAATACTCAGAAGAACATGAGGTAAGTCCGATTATTTATATATTTGACCTCATAATTTGGTGAATAAGGATGAATAAGGATGTCCATTTTAAGTGCTGTAATACAAGTTTTTATAGATTAGTTTTAAATTTAAGTTCAATAAAGCTTCAAAATGTTAATCGGTATTGTCCATTTTATATTCTTCACGTCAGTCCATTTTCCCAGACTTCATTTCAAGATTCCTGCAACTCATTGTCTTCAAGCCCGGGCCCCTTCCAAACCTATTAACGTCCCGTTAATTTAGTTTCAACGCAAATATTATTTATTCCAACTGTGCACATTTTAGTGAGATCATATTTGTTGTCTGGTGGATTTTTTTATAACTGAAATCTATTTTCTTATTTACTAATTAACTTTACAATTAAATGCCGAAATAGTAAATTGTTTAACGAGCAAGGAATGGCACTCATTGCCTACGAGTAATACGTAATGCTGTAAATCATATGAGTAGGAAATGAGCATTCCTTGCGACTAACCTATAAATACCAGATGCTTACGGAAGTGACAACAGTGGCCGATAATTCGTTTTTGTTTCAATTCATAGGCTCCACCAGGTGCGGCCACCAGTTATGCTACCAGTTGCCTAGTCTATAGTCTATTTTTATGAATGAGAGAGTAATAAAACAGCATTTCTAATGCAAAACTTAGTACGGTCATTTTAAATATTTTTACAGAATAATCTAAATATTTCCTAAAATCGTAATAAATGTACCTGAGCTATTACAAGTTTTGGGTCTTTTATTGGTCCTTTATAAATATAAGCTGTACAGAACAATAGAAAAAGGTTTGGACAGGCCAAAAGCCCTGTGTATTAAAGATTACATAGCCGTATCTTAAGATTATTTTCAATAAGTACCTATTTGCCAATTTTGTTTTATTTTAATTCCAAGAATTTCTTACAGTAATCGAATTATAAGTAGATAAATACCTTCCCAATAAATTTCACCGAAAATGCGATTATAGGTTTTCCATTTAGTAAGGAGGTCCAAGTTGTGTATTCTTGACAGTTTACTAAATGTCGTTTAGTTGCAACTTGCAAGGTGCAGTGTGAATTCTAGTGTGATCATGGAAAATTTGGAAGGGCTGCGTAAACGACAAAAAATCGGTCCTTTAACAGATAATGAAAAAACATTAATATTTAATTGTTTTAAATCATTTACAGACAAACATTTATGTAAAAGTGTTGATGACACAGTGGAATTAGTTAGAAGTACGCTTGGTATTGGGAAATCTACGATTTACAGAGTTGTTAAAGAAGAGAAAAGTAGCGAGTTTCAAACAGCACGTAAAGCTCCAGGAAAACCAAAATTTCAATTAGAACATCTTTTGAAAGAAAGACTTCGAAGGAAAGTGCATGCGTTCTTCTTTAGAAAAGAATTTCCGACAGTAGACAAAGTTCTTGCCACGGTTCGAGATGATAAGGATTATCCTGAAATAAGTCGAAGCACATTATGGAAACTTTTAAAAGAAATAGGTTTTCTATGGAAAAAGCATTCCAGAAAGTCTATTTTAATAGAAAGAAGCGATATTGTAGTATGGAGAAGAAATTACCTAAGGACTATAAAAGAAATGAGAAACCAAAGAAGAAATATATTTTATTAAGATGAAACATGGATCAACGAGGGACATAAATTAAATAAATTTTGGCAAGATGAAACTGTTACAAGTCGAAGACAGGCTTTTTAAAATAATTTATCTACTGGTATAAATCCACCATCAGGAAAGGGGCGCAGACTAATAATAGTACACATCGGTAGTTCAAACGGTTTTGTTAAAGGTGGTTTATTGACTTCAGAATCTACTCGTACCGGTGACTACCATGAGGACATGAATGCTGATGTCTTTAAAGAGTGGTTCGAACAAATTATAGATCTTCTTCCTCAGAACTGTATAATGTAATGGATAATGCAAGTTATCACTCGAGACTTATAGAAAAAATGCCCACAACCAAGTGGTTAAAAAAAGATTTACAGAATTGGCTAAATTCAAAGAATATTAAGTTCCATCCCGGTTCTGTGAGAAAAGAACTGTATCATTTGTGTTCCCTTCATAAAGAGAAATTCAAAAAATATTAAATTGATGATATTGCAAAAAATCGTGGGATGACGGTGGTTAGATCACCATCATATCATTGAACTGATATGGGCACAGATAAAGGGAGAAGTTTCAAGAAAAAATTATTCTTTTAAAATGAGTGATGTTAAACAGTTGTTTTTGGTGGCTGTAAATAATGTGAAGCCTGAAAACTGGGAAAAGGCAGTAAATCATACGATTAAAGAAGAAGAGAAAATGTGGAAGTTGGACAATATTATTGATGAAATGATCGAGCCACTCATTGTAAATATTGGTTGCGACAGTTCATCTTCTGATTTCGATTCTGATTTGGATTTGTAGGTAAGAAGTAGTTTTTACATTAAAATTATTATTTATGAACGTAACGTTGTTTAAAAGTCAAAGTTTAAACCCTTATACCTACATAACCCGTTTGACACAATGTTCTTAACATACCTTGTGGAAAATAAAATATTTTAGAAAAAATTGCACTTTTTTACCTTCAGCTGTTTAGAAGTTACAAGCAGGTTAATTAGGTGAAAATATAAGTGTATACTCGAGGAATAACTTCAAAAAATATTTTAACTGTCTACTAAAAGAAGTTGTACGCCTATGGATTACGAACGCTTTATTATTTTAATACTCTCTCATACATACAAATAGACAATAACATTATATGCTCATATTAAAGTTTTAAACCATTTTACAGTGATTTTTCTTAATTCGTGATACAAGGGGTTAAAAAAACTTTTAAGTTTATTGAACATAGTGTTATATTTTTTTAGTTTCATTGTGACTACACGATACATGGTATAGTATACCCCTGGAAAGGTCTCGATGAGCTGATTTTAAAAATACAATATTTATACAACTACTACGTCGTCATAGTTCAGTTTAACTCCCAGGTACTGATATCAGTAAATATTTAATTTAGTCTTAATGATATCGGTACATACCTAAACACAACTATTTAGTTTCTTGCATTAATTTAGACCAGTGCAATATTTAAGCAGACACATCGTTTGTTTCATGGATCTGTTGACGTGTTGACCTCTCCTTTTAGCTACACGCTTTCGCGTAAACCTCTCGCTTCCTTGCGCTCACTCAGAATAGTGCACCGCATAGACGCGATTGGCCAGTGCGCAGTGGCGTACCCAAAGTAGAGATTACCATGTATGAAACAATAAAATTATTAAAATTGCATTTATATATTTAGGTTATTTATTTTAAAATAATGTTTTTTTATGAAACGTAACTTGGTGTTCACTGCACAAATGAACCAATGGAAAAACCGCCCCTGCTTAAATGTCTCAAGAGTTTTCAAGTCACACAGTGACTTATATACCAATAGTGGCCTTAGGTTGCATAACGCAATTTGTAAATTGAAGATCAATTAAAAATCTTATTAAAAGAGTACATTTTATTGATAAAAATGGGGATTTAAAAGCATTTTTTTATTTTTGAGTTTTGTACATTTTCGGTATCATGTTCTTTTCTTTTATCACAATATTTTGTAGAATTTTTGGAGCGTTAATGTATCTCAAAATAAGGTTCGGGATAATTCTTGTCTTTTTTAAGTATTTGTTTAAAATTTGTAAATATCATATTTTCGTTACACATACAGGGCATTTGTAAGTTAGTTATTGAAATTAGCATTTTGTCTTAAATCCGGATCTGTTGATAGGTTTTGAATTAAAATTATAAGCCACAAATTAAGAGAATACAAAAAAGTTGATGATTTTATTGATTTCAACTGGAAAAATTATTAATTAGAAAACAAATTTTTTTAGTAATTTTATACCACCCAATTATCGATATATTAGTATTAAAATGTATGAGAAAATTCCAAACAATTTTAATAAAACTTAATTTTTGTCTGCTCTTTTCAAAGATACAAATAAATTTTCGAAATTCTGATATATGGGGTATTGTTCTAAAATTAAATCAAATTATTTAACATTTCAAGTTCGGACCTGGATTTCAACTGTTTGGCACCATACTGGGCAAAGAATACATCATATTAGTGTGACGTAATTTTGGTTCTTCTGACAGGTCAGTTCTAACCAAACTTTTAACAGAAACATCATTGAATTTGACGTTTTTATTATTTAATTTTTTTTCTAAATATTGTTTGTAGGTAATAAAACTTTACTTTAAATACGTCTTTAATTCCTCCTCAACCTTTAGTAAAAAACAGTTCAAAGGTATGCAATTGGTTACTAAACAATTACATACTTGATTCATGTTATCCTACTTACTTTTGGAATATATTTATTTAAAAAAGTTCCAAAACTATATAATTTAGGTAAATAAAACAAACAAAACGTAATCAAAAATAATGTAATTGTCAGTGGAACCAAAATTACATCATCACTAATTTAAAGTATATAGGTAGTGAATAAGAAAAAACTACAAAGAGGTTCGTAACTGATGTTTAATTGAAAAAATAAGCAAATTGATAAATCATCCTGTATTTTGATTATAGAGAATCAGAGATTTATTAAATATAGGTTATTTTGAACCACATCGATGTCCTCTATCTACCCCTAACATTTTCTCATGTTCCAATGAGTAAACATACAGTGAAACCTGTGTAAAACGGAATCGCACGGTCGTGCACCGATTTTCCGGCATATACAGGATTCCGCGTTACACAGGGTAGATAAAAAATTGCATATAGTAGATTTAAAAAAGTGATGATTTTATTAAAAAAAATCTAATATACGTACATTTAATATATAGTTGTTATTATTACTATGTACCTACATATTTTTATTTATTATTAGAAAAAATATAAATTATTATTTATTCCACATTTCTATCAATGTAAGTTGTTTTTTATTCTTTTGTAATACGTAAGATGATTCCATGAATGTCCTTAATTCTAAAATCTTCTTTCTCATCGGTTCGCTCTCTATTCTTTGGGAAAAATCCTCTAACGCTGCAACACTCCTCAAAGCTTCAGAAAAATTTTTTATCCGATCGGATTTTTCAACTTCTGTTCCTGTAGATAAAAATAATAATTTAAGAACAGATCGTTTTGAAAAGCTAATGGGAAAATAATTTTTTCTATCTGTTATTTTTGTGATGGTAACTGAAATCTTCCTATCTTATTTTTATTATGTATTTTAACTTTATTTCTACTTGGCCAAATGCCCAATTAAGATGGAAAGAATAAATAAAAAGTTGTTTATTTTTTTAGAGAATTAGAAAAATCGCTTACCAATTCCAATCCCATCATTATCGTCTGCCACAGTAGTTTCCACGGCAGTTTTTTTCTAACACCAGTTCTTCTATGGACTGAAATCCAGCATTTGTTGTAACGGCTTCATCTAATGTAATGTAATCATGAACATTACAACCGGGATTAATTTCAGTAATTAACTCTTCGACTTCTTTTGTACTTTCGTCAATTTCGTCAACATTTTCGATTAGGTCAACGTCTCCATCTTGCTTGATTCCACATGCCGCAAAACATTTTTTAACACAATCAGGTTTAATATTTTTTACTGAATAATCAATCCATCTGATAGCATCCAAAACTGATATTTTTTTAGCCAAATCTCCTGCTGATTGAGAGAATCTCATATTCGCAATAATTGACCCCAGCACTTGTTTTCTGTAATGCATTTTGAAGTTTTGTATAACTCCATGATCGAGAGGCTGTGTTTGACTTGTGGTGTTTGGTGGTAGAAAACACAATTTTATATTGGATAGTATTATTTTGGGGTGACACGTTGCATTATCCAAAAATAGAAGGATGTGTCGATTTTCAAATTTCATTTTTTGATTTAAAATTTTTAGCCACTGTTCCATAAGAACTGATGTCATCCATGCTTTTTTATTTGCTCGCCAATAAACTGGTAGCTGAGGCACATTGGTATTGTTAAAACATCGCGGTCTGAGGGATTTTCCAATAACTAGAGGTTTTTCTATTTTTCCGTCAGCAAAGGCGCAAAACAAAACGGTTAACCTTTCTTTAGATTGTTTGCCTCCTTGACATTTTTCACCTTTAAAGCACATTGTCTTGTCCGGCAGCGCTCTATAAAAAAGGCCAGTTTCGTCACAATTAGCAATGTCTTTTAGGGTATATCCTTTAATTAAATCTGTAATGTGCGATGTCCATTCAGTCACAGATTCCATGTCGACGTCCTTAGCTTTACCGCAGATCTGATTAAATCTTATGTTATGTCGTGTTCGAAAACTTTCCAGCCATCCATTCGAAGCTTTAAAATCTACTTTTCCAAAATGGTTTGCAATTTCTCTTGCTTTTTCTTGAATAATTGCTCCAGATACAGGAACATTGCGAGACCTTGCATCCATAAACCATTCCAAAACTGTTGAATTTACGTCGTCGTGATGTGATTCCTTTGGCTTTCTCTTAATATCGCCATTACCACCACGCATCCACTCTTCTTTAATTTTTTCCTTGTTTTTCAAAATTTCATACACTTGCGTTTTTCCTCACTTAAATTGAATAACCAATTGCTTTGGAGTAAGTTTTTTTTGGTCACTACATTTAATTAAGTCCATTTTAGATTTTAGCGATAATGTATTCGTTTTTCGGTCTGCCATTTTGAAATGTTTGCACTTTCACGGATAAACTCAAACTGCCGTACCTACACAATACTGGTTTATTTGTGTATTTACTGCTTTTGTACCTAAATTTCTGTAATAATGGTTCTAAGTATTGATAATAGTTCGCCCTTATTATGGGGCTTTCCGAAATCATAAACTAATTATGTAAACATCTATAAATTCTTTTATACCTGCAAAGCAATAACATAAGTAGGTTCCGGCTTAACAGATTAGGGAAATTCCGTGTTCGCGTTAGACAGGGTTCCGGCTTATAAGCAATTTTTACATTACAATATGTAGTTAATCGCCAAAATTTCCGTCATACACAGGATTCCGTGTTACACAGGTTCCGGCTTACTCAGGTTTCACTGTAATATGAATTGGACTAAGCATATCAATAAAACTCTAAATTATAGGACAACCATGATAAAATTACAACTACCTGGGGAGTTCCAGTACCAGAAAAAGATGCCAGCTTAACTATCGGTTACCACGGACCAATTTTACTTCAGGATTACAATCTAATAGACGAAATAGCGCACTTTACCAGAGAACGTATCCCTGAGAGAGTCGTCCACGCTAAAGGTGCTGGTGCTTTTGGATATTTCGAAGTAACTCATGATATCACTGAATATACTGCAGCTAAAATATTTTCTGAAATTGGGAAGAAGACTCCTATTGCCGTAAGGTTAGATTTTACATTTTGTATACCTCATATGAATATGCCAATATCCTATCATAGATTATTATATATCCCAAGCTCCTGGTGTAGAAAGAAGCCTAAGGGAGATTGGGATCTTGGGAGAATTTTTTGCAACACATAAAAGATATGGCTTGGACCAAGAATTTGTACGTGTAGCTATTCATTTAAAAACAATGCTGCATTAAAAAACAGACTTAATAGATAGGAAATATATATTAAAATAAGTTATTGCCCACTACATTTATTTCGATAAATTGATTGTAATAATTTTTAGGTTTTCTCAAGTTGCTGGCGAACTTGGTTATCCCGACACTATAAGAGACATCAGAGGATTTGCTATTAAATTCTATACTGAAGATGGCATCTGGGATTTGGTGGGAAACAATGCTCCGATATTCTTTGTGAAAGATTGTGCCCTTTTTCCTAGTTTTATTCACACCATGAAAAGGTAAAATATATTTTAATTCAAGATCTGGTATAAAAGTAATCACATATTATTTTATTAGTTATCAACGATGTATTTAACGTTTTGGAATAAAAGCTAAATAAAATAAATGCTGATGTATATTTCAGAAATCCAAAGACGCACATGAGACCAGACTACGACATGTTTTGGGATATGATAACCCTACGTCCAGAAACGACACACACATGTCTTATATTCTTCTCTGACAGAGGAATACCGGCAAGCTTCAGAAAAATGCACGGCTATGGTACTAATACTTTTGCTTTCGTTAATGCCCACGGCAAATTTTTCTATTGCAAATTTCATTACAGAAGCGAACAAGGTAAGGAAATATTATGAAAATTAAATATTCGGTAAAGGTGCTGTCCAAGGTAAATTATCAAAGTGAGTTATAAAAGATTTATTACACATTTTAACGACAAATATACAGGGTGTTTATTAAGTACTTCTACAAACTTTAAATAGTATATCTTTGACTAATTTTAAGGCAAAAAGTTCATTTGAACACGTGTCCTAAACCTCTTAACTTTTGTGCTACAGGGTGGTAAAGTTTTCAAAAAAAATCTATTTTTCCAATAACTGTGAGACTATTGTAGATATCTTTACGAAATTTGGTACACGTATACTGTGCATTAAGATGCATTTTTTGATGTACAAATTTATGTTTTCTACCAGTGGCGTCCATACCTACGGGGTTTGTATTGAATATTTTTGCAGAAAAAATAGTATGCCACTGCTTCATCTTAAAACAAAAATTATTTTTGAAATCCTCATTTATTTTTAAACAAATTTATTCTCTTGAGTTTTTTCGTTCGATGCATAGTTTACGCTTTAAAAAATAAAATCTGTTTTATTTCAGAGTCAAATTGCTAAAATGTACAATTGTACATACCTGCATAGCAAGCCTTGCAAACAACCGAGAGGTTTCCATGGTAGCGAAATCAGTCATGACAGTTTATTTAAAAAAAAGATCATGGTTTTTGTCATTTAAAAATGTATGTATGTAATAATTTATTGTCTATTATTGTGTTCAAAATGTACGAATATACCAATGCAGAAATGGTGCATCCGGTGCAACAACGTCGTAAGTGCAAAAATCTATTTTTTACAAGGAATCCATTTGAAAGTTTTGCTCGTCATAAACTGAAATATATTAAAAATCAAATGATTGAATAATTACCAGATGTAGAAGCAAATTAGGCGTATTTTGTGACTAAAAAGTCACTTTCAAATATTTTTGCACTTATGACGTTGTTGCACCGGATGTGCGATCTTACAAGTGCGTATATATATTACAGAGTCGGTACTAGGGTAAGCAGGAAAGAAACAGTATCAGCGATGCCGGCCTATACGGCTTAGGCTTTTCTTTCCTGCTTGCTCTAGTGCTAATTCTTTGTAGATTTCACACGCACTTGAGCATTGCGTATTGGAATAAATGTAGATTCTTGCAATAATATCTTATAACATTGTATTAATGTCGATCAAACCATTAATCATTAATATTTTCCCTTTTATACAGTAACCAACAAAGAAAAAGTATCTACTGTTGAGTTTTTATATTAGGGAAAACCATCATTAATAAAAGTGATATTAAAAACCAATGAAAATTGAAGAAACCCACGGATTTATACAGAAGAAGATATAAAAAAGAATATGTTTGAAATTTTGGTCCAAGGTAACAAAAATCAAAAATTTTGTTTTCAAATTATGCCTTTTTTAATGATGCGTTGATGATATAAGTTATTTATATATTACTCTTAAAGTAATTTGAAATATTTAATGAAAAGGTACGATCTTTAAAAAGCTTCACTTGGAAATGATTTTGGAACAAACCAAGTAGCACCAAACGGTTTTATTCGGTACTTCAAGGTTGCTTAAAAACTGTGAAATAAAACTGCAATTAAAACCAATTAATTTTAAAAGGAGTCTTAAGGTTGTACATAATAAAACCAAACAACCTGCAAGTCCTTCATAAAACTAAGTAGTTTTAAAGTTTATTAAAACTAAACCATTTTAAAACTGCAAGACATACAAACTTTTAAGAGTAATTGTCCTTATTAGCGAATCTTTTTAGATACTTTAGAAACAGTATTAAATGCTAAACAGCTTTTAAGTGCCCGCAGTATATCTACAAGGTAACTTTAAAACCAGTATCTTCTTATTTACCACATTAAAACCATTTTAAAACTTAAATAAACCCAAAATGTTTTTATGGTGCTACTTGGGAAGTGATTTCGTCTACGGAATGGCTCACGGTAATGCACAAGCTGCAAAAAGAATGTATCAAGCCCGATTTCCTCAACGGGTGGTTCCATATGTCCAAACATTCATTAATATTCACGCAAGACTTTGTGAAACTGGCAGCTTTAAAAGAACAATTGATATCCCAGGAAGGCCCGCGACAGTTCGAACAGTTGAAATTGAAGAAGCTGTGTTAAATAGAATTGAAGATGGCCCGCAAAATAGTACAAGGAAAATTGCTCATGAATTGAATATTACGCATACAATTGTGTGGCAAATTTTAAAATCTCAACAACTTTATCCTTATCATATTCAACGTGTACAGGCATTACTACCTAGAGATTTTCCTCTCAGAGTAGATTTCTGCGTTTGGTTGCGAAATAAATTATTAACAACCCCGGATTTTTTAGGCCATGTACTTGTTACAGACGAAGCTTCTTTTACTCGAAACGCCATCATGAACTTCCACAACAACCATATCTGGTCTGAGGATAATCCCAATGCTATCATAGAATATAATTTCCAAGATCGTTTTTCTCTAAATATTTGGGTCGGAATTATCGGGGATCACCTTATTGGACCTTGCATTATTCCACAAAGGCTAAATGGTGAAGAGCGCTAAAGATTTTTGGAGCACGAGCTTCCTGAACATTTAGAAGAAATTGATTTGGCTACCAGAAACAGGATGTGGTTCATGCACGATGGCGCACCGGCACCCTTTTGTTTGGCTGCACGTCAATTTCTGAACGAGAATTATCCTAATCGTTGGATAGGAAGAGCGGGATCGCAAGCCTGGCCTCCCAGATCACCAGATTTAAATCCTCTGGATTTTTTTCTGTGGGGTCACTTAAAGACACTAGTTTACAAAACATCCGTTCAAAATGAGCAAGATCTAAAAAACAGGATATTTGAATTGTGTGCCATTATTAATCAGACACCAGGTATATTCGAAAGAGTACGTCAATCAATGTTAAGGCGAATTGACGCAAGCGTTGCAGTAGGCGGCGGGCATTTTCAGCAATTGTTGTAAATGTTATTAACTTATTTGTAAAAGTAGTTTAGTCTTAGTCTGTAAATAATCTAAGTTTATCATATAACAATATTGATCAATAAAAAACACATTTTTCACTTGTTCCATGCAGAATACTATGCGTCGGACGAAAACTATGCGTCGGAGAAAAATACTCATCGGACCAAATTTGCTCAAAACTAAATGAGGATTGCAAAAATATTTGTTATTTTAAGATGAAGCAGTGGCGTATTATTTTTTTCGGCAAAAATATTTAATACGAAACCCGTATGGGCGCCAATGGTAGAAATAATAAAATTATTTGTACATTAAAAAATGCATCATAATGCGTAGGAGACGTGTACCAAATTTCGTAAAAATATCTGCAATATTCTTGCAGTTATTAGAAAAAAAAATTTTTTTCTGAAAACTTTACCACCCTGTAGCTCAAAAGTTAAGAGGTTTAGGACATGTGTTCATATGAACATTTTGCTTTAAAATAAGTCAAAGATACACCATATAAAGTTTGTACAACTACTTAATAAACACCCTGTATATGATCCAATCTATTTTAAAATTTTCAATAGTAAGAAACTTTTAATATTAAGAAACCTTTAACGGTAAGAAACTTTTAATAGTAATAAACGTTTACCAATAAAAACTTTTAAGAGTAGAAACCTTTCTTAATATGAAACTTTTCCGTAAGAAACCAGAATAACTAAAAGAGCAAATTTGATTTGATCTCAGATGATCTGTACTTTTTTTTCAGGAGTCGAGAATATGGATCCTAAAGTCGCCCAAAAACTTGCTGGAGAGGATCCAGACTATCACCTAAGAGATCTCTACAATGCTATCGAGAATGAGGAATATCCTTCATGGAAATTTTACGTTCAAATCATGACACCAGAACAAGCGGAAAAAAGTTCTTACGATCCATTTGATGACACGAAGGTTTGGTTGCATTCTGAATATCCTTTGATTCCCGTTGGAAGATTTACGCTAAATAAGAATCCTAGTAACTATTTTGCAGAAGTTGAACAGATTGGGTTTGATCCTGCTCACTTGATACCCGGTGAGTAAATATTTATATGTGTATCTATAAATTTGAAAATTGTGTAGACTTTGCCTATTTAAAATATTATTTTCTCTTTAATTTGATGTAAGTATTACTACTGTGTTCTAGGTATTGAACCATCTCCCGACAGAATGCTTCAAGGCAGGCTTTTCGCATATGGCGATACCCATCGATATCGTTTGGGCGTCAACCATTTACAGATTCCTGTAAATAGTCCTTTCAAAGCAAGTCATTTCGCTAGAGATGGTAAAATGACACTTCATAGTCAAGGTGGAGCGCCAAATTATCATCCCAACAGCTTCAATGGGCCTAAAATTGATAAGAGAGCCAAGGCTTTAAGTCCAGTAATACCATTGCATGGTAAGTTATTTGTTTTATCTATATGCAATGCCTATTTGAATTAATGTTACCATAACATTCAAGAATATGTTTTATTTGAACAGTCAAATATTATACATTGGTTGTGAACAAATTTTTCGATAAAGATTTTTCATGCAGAGACATAAATTTCCATGAGCATAAGCTGGTGATGTGTGTTTTTTATTTGATAATAATAGACAGATACTTATTGTCATTCGTATAAATATATATAAATTTTAATATGTTTCTAGGCGAGGCTACAAGAATTGATAATGGAAACGACGATAACTTCACCCAAGCACGGTTATTATACCAGAAAGTGATGAAAGATGATGAAAAAGATCGTATGATACAGAATATGCTGGTATGGTTAAAACCTACGAAACCACAATTTCAAGATAAAGCGGTCAAAATGTTTTCACAAGTGGATCAGGATCTTGGGAAGAAATTGAAAATTGGTTTGGGTTCTTCGCCTCATATAGATTTATAAATTTCCTATTTTATTAATAAATTACTTTTTTTATATATTTTAATTTTAATTCGTCTTTATAGAGTCTAGATTATTACTAGAAATGATAATAGCAAATCAATATTTCATTACCCATCCTGAAACTAGGCTTTTCACAATGCACGAAGTACGTCATTTTAAGGAACTAATAAAAATTAATTTACTATAACATAATATAGAAAACAATTAACTCAAACCAATTTTTTTTTTAACTACTAAATTTGAAAAGTCAATAAAACATAATTGATCATTCGAATTTTCTATCAAATCAATGATTCTCCTAGTTTAATTTTTATCATATTTGTAGTCTTTTTTTAATGCTACACACAGTTTGCTCAACCTGTAGGTATTATGTTATGTTATGTTGGAACCTAAAAGATCTATTGTGCCCCTTCTGTCGCTAATGCACCAATGAAATATCTCAATGCCTATAACGACCCTTCCAATCCTATCTTCTCAAGGAAGTGTAGGATTTGGAGTGACTTCAAGTTAGGTAAATCTCCCTCTTCTATTTGATATCCTTCTAGGTATAGTGCCTTTGGATTCTGAAGTGGTACACATTCAGTTAGAATGTGAATAGGGGTTTTGTCTTCTTCTTAACAGAATCTGCACTCACTACCCTCTACTACTCTCTGTTTACTAAGGTGCCCAATCCTTTTTTAATATCTCCTAATATTATGTTACTGCTGATACCGCAGGTCCTACAAAGTGTGTTTGAGCCCCTTTCCTTGCATGACTATCTGCAATCTTGTTACTCTGTACCCCGTTATGTCCCGGAACTCAAGTGAGAGTAACTCTATTTTTCTCGCCTAGCTCACTAAATTGTTCAAGGCATATCTAGACTATTTTTGAGCTGATAACGTAAGAGCTCAGCGCTTTGATGGCTGCTTGTCTACTGGACATGATGATAATCTCTTGTCTTTAATAGTTTCTCTAGAAGTTAAACTGGATACACTTCTCGCTGGCGTGAGTTTCTGCCTGGAAGATGCTTGGGTATTTTGCCAAGCTTTTAGAGGGCTTGGTCCTGCTATTGCTATTCCAGCTCCTTTTGGAACCGTCCATATACCACTGAATAGCATGTCTTTCGGTTGCAAGCACGATGGATTCTTGGCCCCATTCTTTCTTGCAGCCCAGCTCTGTAGTTTTGAAGTTTTTCACAAAACTGTACTTCTTTAGCATTTCATCCTGGGGCATGTCCCAGGTATCTTTAGTCCTGAAGCAAGTAGAATTTCGTCTGATTACTCGGTTCCTGCTCATTCAATATCGTGTCCTTTTTGCCATATTCTCTATCATCAAATGTAGAAGGGTGAGGTTTTAGATCACCTCCACTGCGGCCGTAAGGCAAGTTCTTATTGCACCGGTGATGCAAACACAGGCTAGTCTGTACTTTTAAGATATAAGCTCTCGTAGTCGCTAAACTAGTTTTGTTACTACAGGCTATAGCCCCGTAACTAATGATTGGTCTCACTATTGCAGTATACATCCATCGCAGTATGTTTGGGTTACAGCCCCATCGTTTACCCGCAATAAGCCTGCATACCATTAGGGCTTTTATGGCCTTATTTTCTACTTCCTTCTCATGTGTGTTCCAGAAAAGTTTGTTGTCCAGTGTTAGGCCTAGATATATGACTTCATTTTTAAATCTATCCCGTCTAATTTAGCGGTTTTGAGATTAAGTTTTCTTTTCCTTGAAAAGGCTACTAGTGTTGTTTATGTAGGGTTTATACTGAGTTCCATTTCACAGCACCATCTTTTGCTATGTTCTAGTCCTTGTTGGACTATATCACACAGGATATTTCTAAACTTGCCTCTAGCAAATATGACTATGTCATCGGCATAACCTTGACAGTGAATGTCCTGGAGATCACAGCCGAGGCTTCCTTGGCAAGATGGATATTCACTTGGGCGATATCGATGCCCGCCATTTTACTCTCCTTTAATAGAGGTGCCGTCCCCATCGGTGAGGGTGTATTCCATATCCCCCTCTTCTGCTTCTTCATCAATTTCTACATCTTCAGAAGAGTCTACGCAGAGATTTGATGCTCTCCACATCAGCCTCGTCTTTGGAAGTACTAGGAGTTGGTTCTGTTTCTTCTCCCAGTTTCTTTATTTAATCTTTCTTTTGAAGTCCGTGTACGGGGATTTTCCCGAATCAATAGTGGATAGTGCATCCATTATCTTTAATCCTTTGGAAGGATAGGTCATCTATTCCTAACCTAAGGATCTGGCCTTTGCCCTCGTCTTTTTAGCTGACTATTTTCCACAGTGTGGTCGATAGCCCCATATTCTGCGCTTCTATTAACTGTAGAAGCTTCTCTACAGGCTGCCCTTGACTTCTTGGGAGAAAGAGCGTGGCTGTATGTGCTTTCGGGATATTGTTTCCCGCACATACCTCCAACTTCACTCCCTTCCAGTTGCTCAGGTGTGGGATTTTTGCCCTGAGCTATTCTGCTGACTGTGGGGTTTCACAGTCGATTAAGACCATTCCTCGCCGGAAGTGGATGCCTCTGAATTGCAGCTTATGCTCCCATTCAGCGAACATCTCTTTTACTATTTCTACTTCTACCAAGGTTTAATCGCTCTCACTGAGAATGGTCTCAGGGAACTCTTTAGGTAGGATCGCGACCCGCTCCGCCTTGACGACAGTTGCATAACTGCCAGAAGAGGAGGTATTGGCCACTTTCCTTTTCTTTTCTTTCCTGTAGGTACTAACTGTAGGTATTAACACTAGTGTTAAAAGTTAACTCACCATGAAAAACTTTCACTAATACATTTAACGTCAAAATATAAATAATAAAATGTTTTCATGCAATTTTAATAGGATTTGTAGATTTACACATGTTTTAAGACTTTTTATTTTGTTGGAGTTTTAAAAGGTTTATCATAAATATTTTTTAACATAGGTAATAATAAATTTTACTATGCGTTATTTTTCTTATTTCAATGTTAATATCATTGGTATTTTTATCTGATTCTACATTTTTTGTAAGAATTGCTTGTTTTTAATAATTAAGGATAACAGCAATAACCCAGACATTTTTTGTGGTTTGTTATTATGCGTTTTCGAAAAAAATACGATTTCCTTGAGATAATTTATGGTTTTACGCATATAAATACAAGGATCGTATTATTGAAAATATCATCAGCGTGCGATTTTTTAGTGAAAATGTCTTCACGTGATTCAACAGCCAATCAACTGCTGGAATACTCCAGAAAACAGACGGTAAGAAGTAATTTTTTGCAACCAAGATTTATAAGGGATAAATATGTTTTTAAATATTTATTTTTTAAAATCAAATATTGAGCGTTTCACAAATCTTTCTATACAACTATTATAGAGTTTCTGTAAATCCAAGAATTAATTTTATAATAATGTTAATATAGTTTATTTAAAAAAGAAATGTTGAAATTACCTACTACAACTGTACAATACATAAGGTGTAAGTAAATAAACATCCAAATCGTATACAGTTGTCTAGGTACAACTTGTGTGTGATAAGAATTTTATATACAGGGTGTCCTGTTAGTGCTTAATTGTTCGATATTTCAATTTGTCTTATAGATACCCAAACAACTTTTCTAGTGGCGTACAGCATTGGTACGTAATACCGCATCCCTCCTAAATTTTACGTCACTATCCAAGTTATTTGGACATAAAATTTTAAATTTTTTGATGTTTTTTAAATAAATAATGTATTCTTTTTAGAAATTTAATTAAAAAAATCGAAATTTAAAAATTTCAGAATTTCCAAATATGTGCGAATATCTCAAAAACTAACTCAACTTTATTAAAAAACATCAAAAGTTTTTGGACAGTGGAGGGAAAAAGGTGTTACTTGCCCATGAAGTACGCCACTGGCATAGCTTATTTAACTTATATTTTTGCTGATAGATGTATTTTATTACACCAATAACGTTTGCCGAATTTAGTAAAATTAAACTAAGTAGTAAAAAAATGTAGCTATTCATAATTTTTGATTTTCAACTTTAAAACGCTGTTTTTCGGAAACGAGTACTGTTTTACCTACGGATGTTTCGTTTAATCGGCTTATTTCTAATCAGTTAATTTTCAGTTGCTCCCATTCTTAATGGAATACCCTGTATATACCGAAAGGTCTTGCAGCCAAAGAACCAAATAAAAAAAAAGAAAAATGTAATAAAAAAGTGTTTTTATTGCTTTATTTACCAACAATAGTTTATTTAGATCTGCATCAGTAAACATTACTTTCAAAAAAATGTAATCTCATTTATATGTACAGTGTGTTTACGTAAGTTGGCGGCATACGGAAAACTTTTTTAAAAATTTTAAGAAAAAAACTTATTTTTCATAAACAATTGAATGGTCTATTAATTTTAGAAAAAAAGTTATTTTACATAAAAAGTTATGCATGGTCTAAAAACTAAAATTCAATCTGATATCAAATTTTATCAGTCGTATACAGGGTTTGTCGAAAATAAAGGTATTTTATCTTGAGCAAAATTATATTTTTTGACAAACCTTGTAAAACCGACTGATAAAATTTGATATCAAGTGGTTGCATTTTCTGTTAGACCATGCATAAATTTTTATGAAGCATAACTTTTTTTCGTAAAATGAATAATAAAAAAAAATTTCTATATGTCAACTTACATAGACATACTGTGTGTATGCAACTTATGACATTGCTGAGATAAGAAAAAAAATAAGAAAAAAGATATTAATCATAAAATTTGACTTCATTTGTAGAGTCGTAATTTATGTTTACATATTAAGTTTTTATTTTCACTTTTTTTATGAATTTCAGTACTATTTTCAATTATTAATAAAAATTACGTGTGCATTTTAGATTATCCAATAAGAAAAATAAGCATTTTTGAAATATTAATAAATAAATACAAATTAAACAACAAATGAATAAAAAAGCATTTAAAACAAGTTGACTGCCGAAGCAAATGTTGTGGACGGGTCTGCTGAGCCGAAGTAGTTTTTCTAAAAATTTAAGTCTGTTTTACGTTTTAAGAGTTAAGTAGTTTAAGTAAATACTTAGGTATAAACTACAATGTCTAATAGAAGCGTGAGTAAAATATATACACGCGGCGCGGGATTAAATTATTACAAACATATGCGGCCTGCATATATTGTGAATAATATATTCAGGTTGTCCCATTAGTGCGTAATTGTTCAATATTTCAATTTGTGTTATAGACACGTAAACAATTTTTAAATAAAAGTTATATGAATTTCAAAAATAGGTATTTTAAAGATATTTTTAGACATACAATGTTTTGCGTTTTTGTCTGACAAATAAAAAGGTATATTTTTTAAATAGAAAACCCTGTATTTTACTTCAGTTTTAGAATGCTTTGGTAATTTGTAATTTGTATATAGAATGTGTCAAAACGCGAGGTTACGATTTTCTCGATTTTTTAAATGTGATACCCTGTATGTTATACCACCAATTATTTAATGCAGTGAATTCCATTGAACAAAATTAAAAAATCCTAATCTCATGTTTTGACACACCCTATATATAACATAGCAAATGAATGAAGTCAATTAAAATTATTTTGACGACCTGAAAACAATCAAATATGTATAACTACCTGCAGGGTGTTTTGCTTTAAAATGTATAGGTTTGGTCAACACCTCGTTTATGTAGCACCCTGTGTATTTAAGAATAATTTTTAAATATGGTCATACAACTTTTATATTATTTTTTTTTCTTATTTTCAATAATAAAACAGCTATCGATCAATTACGCACTGATGGTACACTACTCTGTATATGTGTTAATCTCTAACATGTTGGTATTGTTGGATAGGCAAATTTATAAGGAATTGTATGCTAAAATATTATACCGGGTGTTGTCTTTGAAAAAATTGATCGTAAAAGTAGCCATATATAAGACATGTTTTAAAACACGGTATAAAAGAATCCAGCACTATCACCACTATCCGTTATCTTAATGTGCTATAAGTCTGTATATTAAACAATTTTAAAATCAATGTAATCCTACCCAAATTATGATATTTTAATTTGGGGTCTGCATCATTCTCTAATTTTATAAAAATTTAATTGCTTGGCAAACCTATAATTTTTTTTTTAAACATTCTAGGCTTGAATACAGTATTACCAAACCATTCCAAAACTGAAATAAAAAACGTTTTTCTATTTAAAAAATATGCCAGGCAAAAATGTAACACCCTGTATATCCAAAAATATTTTTAAAATATGTATTTTCCAAATCCATATAACTTTTCGTTGAAACATGTTTGCGTGTCTTTAACACAAATTAAAATATTGAACAATTTCGCACTAATGGGACATACACAAGGATATATACACATAGCATTCAACGTGTTAAATCAAAAATAAAGTTATTTATAAAGATAACATTCAGAAAAAGAAAGCAAGTCCCGAAAATATTACGTGCGTACCATACAGTGATGTCAGGTCATTCGGATTCAAATTACATCGGAATGCAATAAAGTTCCTTTCGATAATTATTGTACTGGCAACGTGGCAAATACTTGTTCATATGCAAGGAACATAAATCGATAATTTTGTATCTGGAACGAAGCGAGACAAGCTGTATCACTGTTTCAAAAATTGGTACCTCTAAACAATCATTCACCAATTAAAACCATTGTATAAAGAACTATAGTAGGATAATCGCCATGTAAAAGTTATTGGAGGCAATCGCGCCCGACATCTATTGGTACAATCATTGAACTAACGATTTTATTTACTGGTTAGATACGCCCTCTACGTCGGATGTTAGAACTTTATAAGTGACAATTCCGTCAAATTAATTGTCAGTATATATTTTTTTAGTTATTTAGATTAAATATAAATAAAAATTAGTGATTCTTGTAAAGAATCAATAAATAATAGCATTCCACAAGATATTCGTCTATATTTAGAAATAAACTGAGATTTTAATGAAATTAAAAGCAGTCTGATTATCAGCGTTAAAAAGTAAAACTTTTTCATAAGTCTTCATAACGAAAATTTAGAGTATTTGTCTACGAATCGAAGGGTTCCGAGTTCAAACCCCCCGAGTGGACACTTTTTTTTATTATTTAATTTTATTTTCTAAATTGGTAAAACTTAAATTAATTTCAAAATATTAATTTTACGTTAATGACATCTAAATCTTCATGATCAAATTTCGTCTTTTTGCTATGGCCACTCGGGATCATCAAATTATAATAGAATATTATAAGGTCCGGTAATTTTATTTAAATCTTTTGACAATGAAACTAAAAATTTGTGTGTCTAAAGAAGAAATATACCGAAAATAACAAGTATTTAAATTTTGCTAATAAATTTGTATTAGGTATGTGTTAAAAGAAAATACATCATTTTGGATTTGAATATACAGTGTGTCGAAAAATGTCTGCACCAAGAAAACGCACAAAATTACATTTTTCTTTAATCTACGTAAAAAAGTGCGAATTAAAATTTTTTTACTGAAAATTTATGGTACCTAACAGGGTTATTCATTATAAATTACCCTCCCTTTATGCTATTATTATTATATAATGTTTACATTGACCGAATTTTGTAAAAATGTCATCAAATGACCATATCAGTGGTGTGCATATTTCACAGGATTTAACATGAATATTTTTTAATAAGCATGGCATAGATATATATTTTATTCAATTTTCGAAATGATCTTTATTCTTTCCTGATTAATTAAACGTCGAATATCATAGATAATCTATGTCGAATATCTTATAAATATTTACACTTTTTCTTTCTCACTGTAAACTACCTATTTGGATTATTTTATTATCAAATATAATAGTTGTGATTTTCATAGCTTTTACTTTAATAATATTAACTTTTTCATGTTTACATTATCAACGTTAAATTACTCGAGAACAGACGGTATAAGATAGGGTTATCAATAATATACATTTGTGAAATTAGAAAAAAAATATCCCAGAAATTTATTAACATAGAGGGTATCTCATTTAAAAAAGTTTATTTGTGTTGTATTCCGTGAAATCTGAATAGGTACGTGTTTTTATGGTATATTTAAAAAAAGTCATTCATATTCCAAACTTTTATTTAAAGCTTTTTTTGAATATGCAATAGTGGTTATAAAAGGTGTCTTTAATAATGAATAATCTCAAATAAATTTGTTGAAATTAATTTCATTTGTAAAAATGTCACTTCCGCTTCTCCCGTATTGCTAAAAATAAATTGTGTCCAGGTCCAGGATTTGATGGTGG